AAATAGCAAACATTTCTTGATTTGATGATTGATAAATTTCTTGCAAATATATTTCATTTTTGCTCGCATTTCTGCAAGATTTCGTAAATTTCAAGAAAGAAAGGGCGAAAGAATCGGCTAAAAGCCGAGGGAGCCGACGTTAATGAAGGTAAGTTTGTTTTAAATATTGATTTTATAATGGCTTTAAAACCCAACGGCCTTTGCGTATATGAAACAACTAAACAAGACAGCATATAATTACAATGTATCTTTAAAATGTATTCCTTTTTTTATTATATTGAATTTTTTAAATAAAAAATAAAGCAAAGTTATTTGCAAGCGAGAATTTGAAATCATTTTATTGCAAACTCTCAAAGTTTATCGATAAAGCCATTTAATAGTTAAAGGCAGTTTAGTTTTATAAAGAACACTTTAAAACGTTTTGTGAATTGTTTGTGGTTGAATTTTACCTTAACTTGAAGCTTGTATTCCGTATAATTACATACCCAACATATATATGTTGGGGAATTGATAATTTTGTAATTAAAAGTGATATTCTTAGGCGATTTTCATTTGTGAGAATATTCTTAAAAAATTATCGTGTTACCATGACAACTACTTTAGATAATTCATGTTCGGAAAATACAATGGTTTTGTCAGTAAGACGAGGGTTTCTGCATGCATGTATTTTCTAGTATGTATGTATGTATTTTTAACTTCACCCCGACTCCGCGTTTTCTATAGCCTGCGCGCAGACTATATAATGACATATATAGTCTGCGAATCCGTGGCATGAAGCTTGTATGGTCACGTGAATTTCCCAAGAAAAGTTGGGACTATAATTATGCAGAATTAGTGTTAATTCATCGGACATTGCGTTCGCAACGCGCGTTAGCTGTTCAAAATTGACGGTTTCCAAGGTCAAATGACTCAAATGACAATGTTTATTACAGTTGTATTTATAGAAGTGTGGCGATTAAACAAAAAAGGCCGTTGTTTTCAAAACGGAAAGCCCATTTCACCAAACAGAAGATGTAATATTATAGATTCCTTCTACAACGGCTTTTCTTGTTTATCCGCCACACTTCTATAAATACAACTGTAATATAAACATTGTCATTTGACCCTGGAAACGGTCAATTTTGAACAGCTCAACGCGCGTTGCGAACGCAATGTCTGATGAATTAACATTAATTCTGCATAATTATAGTTCAACCAATCACAATTCGTCCCAACTTTTCTTGGGAAATTCACGTGACCATACAAGCTTCATGCCACGGATTCGCAGACTATATATGTCATTATATAGTCTGCGCGCAGGTGGGGCTTTTTTCAAAATTTTGAAGCAAATTTTGAAAAATGTTGTCATTAATATTCCAAACGATATGTGATTCGAAAGAAAAGTGACGATACTTGCGTTAATCCGAAAATAAAACATCGTATTCACGAATGTATGTGTCAAGTTTTTAATTCTCAACTTGGAGGCTTTTAATTTTCGGTATAATCATATAATTTATAGACCCTCCGCTCGGGGGAGATTCGGCGAAATATTACCCTCAGTGATGATATTTAATATATATTATCACCTCGGGTAATATTTCGCCGAATCCCCCTCGCTCCAGGTCTATAAATGATAAATACACTATACCATCTCAATATCTTGATAAAAATCCCATTCACCATCTTCATTTCTTGACCCGATTCTTCCTTTGGTATTGTTGCTGAGTTGGCAGTTTGTTTCGTTAACCCCCGCTCCACTCCATCAATAGTTGAAACCGACACAACGTGATTCTTGAAAACAGCGCATAAAACAACTCGCCATTAATGGTACGTTATGGCTTGATATTATATTTGTGGTCGGTAATGGTGATCCACCTAAAAATTAGAATGGTAGAAATTTGCAAGGATTGCGGGCTCTGGTTTCGAGATTGAGAAATTTGAAGAACGTGCATTACAGCATCCTCGTCCCCAGGGCCCGCTCTCAGCCGCGCGCATCCTCCCCAGACCCTGGGACTGACACGGAACCGGAAGTGCAGGAAAACTTGCAGTAGTTTCGAAAGCGCATGCATCTTGAATTGGGACACTTTAGCACCCGTAACAATTTTCACAGAGAAGTATTACGAAGAAACGAAGTATTTGTGTTGACATAGTTGATAGAAAAATTTTGGCATATTTTGCCTCGCGAAAACTGCTCAACTTCTGCGAAATAGCAGTTCTCTGAGAAGTTAATCAGATCTCTCCCTTTAGTCGTCTAACCCAGAGCCTAAATATAATTTTCAACGAGTGGCCGAGTGAAAATGGCTCTGAGGACAAGAATGGCATTACAGTCAATTTAGAGTTTTTCTAATATGAATTAATGCCGAAGAAACAAAGCATGCAGGGTGGCATAAAAACAATATCGTGCCGCAACTGCAGTTGAGTTGAAATGGCTTTGACATTTTTTAATTAAAAATTTAATTATATGAACGATTGAGCTATAGTTGTCCGTTAATAATAAATGTGGAAGGCTAGCCATTTCAGCTTTCGTGATATATCATAAAAATCTGCACATTCATGTAATAATTCATCCCGGCATCCATGAGGGGTATTCGAAACTAAACCTGTCTTTGAACACTGTCTAAATTTAAACAAAATGCTCTTAAATATTGCCATTAATATTTAATAAGGCGGAACCGCCGATCAGCTATGTTTATCCAAAGTAGCCATTTGTTTTAATTTATCTTTTTGTAAGGTAAATAGCATATGGCTATACGTGATATAGATGATTTTAACGAATGCATCCATGTTACGAATGCATCGAATGCATCCATCAAATGTGCTCTGTTAATGGCACACTTTCTCGTAAAAAATTAATTACATGTGGAGTCCCTCAAGGCTCAATTCTTGGGCCGCTCCTATTTTTGGTTTATATTAATGATTTGCCAAACAGTTTGGAGTATTCGTCAACAAGAATGTTTGCCGATGATACGACATTAACTGCATCTGGTAAATCAGTTGCTCAATGTAGAAATGGCCATTAATTATGATCTTGCTAACGTAAAGCGGTGGCTATCTGCAAACAAACTATCCCTAAATCTTGTTAAAACTGAATACCTACTAATTGGATCTCGGCATAACGTCAACAATCTAGCCCTTGTTCCAAATGTGTTCGTTGGCGATGTACAAATTAAAAGAGTGAGAGAAACAAAAGCACTTGGAGTATGTATTGATGAATTTTTGTCATGGAATAAGCATATTGACAAAATTACTAAGAAGGTTTCATCCGGAATTGGAGCGATCAGAAGACTCAAACCCTGTGTGGACCATAATACATTAATATGTGCTTATAACGCACTTATATTGCCCCACTTCGACTACTGCTGCGAAGTTTGGGATACTATTGGTATCACACTCTCTGATCGCCTCCAAAAATTACAAAATAGGGCTGCTAGAGTAATTACGGGTCGTAAAAACGAACACGGCCAATCTGAACTTGCTTTAAATGAACTAAACTGGAAAACATTGAAAGAACGCAGAACTCAATTTGTAGCAAGTCTCATGTACAAAATAACCCACGATCTAGCGCCCAAACAACTAATTGATATGTTTCAAAAGACGCCTTCGTCTCAACATTATAACTTACGAGGTTATGCCACAAATCTCTACCTGCCCAAACCTAAGACCGAATATCTTAAAAAAGGTCTTAGTTATAGAGGAGCAAAATTGTGGAATGGCCTCCCAGATAGACTAAGAAATAAATGTTCTCTTAGTCAATTTAACTTAAGTGTGCGGCACCTGGCCAGTTAGATAATGAGTTTATGAAATTTTATTTATTTGACCATAGTAGAGTAATTATAATTGTATAATTGTATTGTAATGTGTTAGTCTTGTATATATATTTATCCTAATTGAGTGTAACGTTTGTATTTTTAAACCTACGCCCCTCTTGGAAATCAGCTCTTGCTGTAGGGGTTAGCGTAGACAAATAAAGTTTTTACTTACTTACTTACTGCATGCGCTGAGGAGATAATTATAAATAGGTCAATCAAAATCGTAGCTTAATTCAAACGAAATCAAATACGGAAGTAGTTTCAATTTTAACAAACTATAAATCATCATCATGCAGTGATAGCTATTTTCACATTTTCGTTTAATTAAAAAACGTTCAAAATAAAATATGACAGTTGTACAATAAAAGTAAAGCGCGGCATGCAACGTCGCCACGATATCGCCGGAGTTTAGTTTCCGCAAATTCGTCGAGAAAAACCATCGCTGGGGGAGTTCAAACCAAGTCTTTGTGTGGTACATACAGGCATATTATATACCGGAGTTAAAATAACGCACTAACATTGCGTGCTTCTAAAATATATCCGCGGAACTAAGTTGAAAGAGTTCTTTAATTTGAATGAAGACAATTAAAATCTAGTCGAAAAAACACATTTGAAAATCAGCTTACGGTTTTCGGAGCTATACTTTAGCTTACAGTCTTACACTATTGCAGATTGTGCAATAAAAGTATTAAAAGCGCGGTAACGTAGCCACGTAACATTTCCGCAAATTCGTCGAGAAAAGATTGCTGGAGAAGTTAATTCAAACCAAGTCTTTTTGCAGTAGTACATGCAGGCCTACATGCAGAAGTTGAAATTATACGTAAATATACGCGCTAACATTGCGTGCATGCTTCTAGATTAATATGTCCGCGGAACTAATAGTTCTTTGATTGAAGATAATCAAAATCTAGTCGAAAAAACACATTTGAAAATGCTTACCGTTTTCAGAGTTATATACTATAAGCATTGTATTGTATTGTATTGAAAAAGTTCTCTTATTAATTAAATACTTTCAGACTTTATATCTTCCCTAACGGAAAACTATGAAATTCAGAATTAGTTCTGGATACGGGAAATTTTAGTTTTACATGCATCGGCTTTTGTCACATCTGCATGAAATATAGCTATGTTTAGGCCATAGATATGATTTAGGCCTATATGTGAACGAAAATTAATTTCACATGTGAAATTATTAGTTCTTATGTGGAAATGGAACCCTTCACATGGAAAGGCATCCTTACCTGTGAAATATATGAATTTTCGTAAGGCTAATACTGAATTAATATTTAGTTTTGCCCTAAATTCTATATATACGAGACAAGTTGTGACTTGTGGGATGACGCTTTATTAATCAAATTAAGGACAAAGAGAAACGGCATTAAATAAAAAATTGCGTCCAAGCTCAAGGTTAGTATTACTGTATTAGGAATTTAATTGTGGGATGTGAGGTCACAAATCTAGGAGAACCTGTGGAAAATAGCAAAAGTCGAGCTCTAGATTAATTCAGAACTGACTAGCTTGTATAGTAATTCAAACTAATGTATATAGGCACCTTGCGTTGTTTACGTTTCCTTGTCAGGCAACAGTTGAAGAACTTAATTGTTTATGTTAAATGTGTTTTGGAACACAAGGGAAAACGAGGCAAACGAATATTACGACATTCTTATATAAAAGTTAAAATCCAGATCAATCGAAGTGCATGAGAGTTTGGTTAGCTGTTCACCTGTTCTTAATGCTTTCCCAACACTATCACGTATTCTATTCAAGTTAAAATATAATTGGAACACTGCAGTTTGATAATCTAAAGTTTAAAATGCCTTCTATGGCAATACATGACTGCCATCTCTTATCATCTCTCAACCTTCTTTGTCGATCTCTTAACAATCTGCAATTAACGCAAAATTTTTTTCATGGCTTCTGAAAAAAAGCGTGCGATATGCTACTTTTATTGATATAAATACGAAGTCAATTTTTTCTCTGACTTACCACTCATGATGTTCTCAAAATGTTTCTGACGGCATGCATTTGTTTCAGACCAGCTTGAACCAATAAAGAACGTGGTTACTGTGAATAGCTTCAGAATCAGCCTAAGATCTGGAAAACACATCTTGCGTATTTGTCGCAAGCTGAAGTGTGTTTACTGAATATGATTGAATTAACTGTTTTATTGAAATATATACCCGTATATACGTCACTTTGGCTATAGAGCCTCGCTTTCACAATTGAAAGACAATTAATTTAGCTAATGCTCATCAGTACACGAAAACGAGGCTCTATATATTTTAAGATTCGTAAGGAGTGTTTCATCACTGATCTAAAATTCGAGTTTCATCACTGATCTAAATTTTAGATATGATAAAACACGACTACAAGTGCTTTAAATGACTTAAAACACGAATATACAATAGATGTCGTCTCATTAGTCGCCGTGTCAATAGATGCCGTCTCATTATTTATATAAATAATACTAATTCGGATGGACTTCATGTTAAGAATACTAATGAAGATGAGTTTTATTCAGTATGAAGCCATTTCACGTGACATATTACGGTTCACATGATTTGCCAAAAAGATTACGAATTATTATTATATGGCAAGCATCACTTCCGGTGAGATGGCGGACTGTGATTGGCTGAGAAGCACTTTCAGCGGTTCATTATTTTCCCGTAATGGACCGGCGGTTACTTACGTAAAAACAAACGCATGCACTTTAAAACAAAATTGCAAAACTAATTGAAAATTATAATTTAATTTGTTATTTTAAGAGGCAATTTTTTTCAATGTCACGTATTTGCAATGAAAAGTGTTCAAAACCTAAAATCTTTTTGGCGTTCCTCTCAAAATTACTTTGTTCTAGCTTTATTCTCTAGTTTATAGAGTTAGCTACCTTTTTAAATGCATCTGCCGGTTGAGAAACATAAAATAATAGTTAAAAATTGTCAATTAAAATACAATTATCAATGATGTTTTAAAATTGAAGCCATATTTACAGCCATATAAGCAAACTGAACTTACGGAACTTCAGACATCATTTTCTCTTTGGCGTATCATCTAAAATCTCTTCATTTTAGCATTATTTTACAGATAAAGCACTAAACATACTTTTTAAGTTTGCTTGCCGATTGAGAAACGTATCGAAAAATAAAAATTTTGAATTTAGTCATAACCTCATGTGGTATATTATACACATTAGTTTTGAGCGCGTGTTAATACGTAACATACAAAAAAATTGCCTCTTAATAAGATATCTGCGAATGGTTTTTAGTGGAAAAGAAGGAATACATTGTGTACCAGGCTACTCATTTCAAATCATGCATTTCTTGTTTGTTTCAAGTATAAATGCCTATAAATACTATATAATATACTTTTTATTAACCTCGCTTGCTCGGTATGTACTTGAGAGAAATATCGGACCTGGTCTTTTTAAAAACTGAAAGAAAAAAGCCTCGGTCCGATATTTCTTGGTACAGACCTCTCGTTCGGTTAATAAGAAGTTATTAATGATTGTTTTAAGTAAAGTATAATTTAAAACACAAGCAGGAGCTGCTTTATTAGACTATATTTGGAACTGGAAGGTCGTTCTTGGTTATCATATTCTATCCAACATGGCTGCTAAGTCGATATCCACTTTGGCTCCGTCAATAAACTCTTCTAAAGAAATCTTCCCATCTGAATTCGTGTCCACACGTTCAAATATCTGACTTGCCATAACTGCTGCAAATGTTCCGTCATTTTTATGGGATATTAACTTCTCGATTGCTGTTAGTATTCCAAGCAGTTCATTTCTGGAATAAAAAGTTTAAAAATAGTTTCAAATACAGCACCATGCATTGGCGGTGATGCAAATATTGCGTGCGAGAGTATAATTGAACCATGCATGACGTACATTACGATGTAAAGCTCGTTCTCCATTGCCATTGGACGAGCTTGGGTAATTGTCCAGGGTCGAGGGTCATATATGCATGGGTCGAGGATCGATACTTAAAAGTCGAGGTCGTGGGTTAAAAGTTGAGGTTCGAAAGTCGAAAATACTAGTTTTTTTATTAACACATTTCTAGAATACTTCATTTTTCGTATACTTGTTGTCAAAATTCTGAACGTTTTCCTCATAATAACTTATTTTTGATTGCTTGTGAAATCGACAGCACAGCCATAGTCAAAAACCTCTCATTCTCTTTCTTCCTCCACTATATGACTTCTTCACTTATAATTATTTTTCTCTCTCTCTATCTTTATCTGTTTTCCACTTCAAATTTTCTTTGAAACAAAGAAGTGCGTTATGTTTCGTTTCGATTGGGGTGGAAATAAGACTTCATTAGTACTCTTAAATAATTATATTGTATATATGTGTTGCTTTGAATAGTGCATGGCTAAATATTGAATTAATGTAATTTAAAGTTGCAATAAAATACTAATAACCCCCCCCCAAAAAAAAACCCACTTCGCACTTTCCCACTGAAAAACACTTCGGTGATGTGGGTATCCAGGATAAATATGAAGATAATAATATAGAAATTTCGAACCAACGCCCGAACCTGATGCAGTATATTGTGCCGTTGCGTTGATTAGACAGATTTAGATCGAGTACGTCAAAGACGACGTGAAAATGGCGTGTTGTGCCCATGTATGGATATGCCACGCCATTTTGACGCCATTTCCACGTCGTCTTTGACGTCCGCGTCCTCGATCTAAATCTGTCTATTATTTTTTAAGAGAACTTGATCATTTTCTCTTTTAAGTGTCTCCGGCGTGTTCGAGGTCGTTCAAGCCCAGTAGTTTCGACTTAACACCATTCGGGACTATATGTAAATTGGCAAAATTAAAATAATGTTTAATGCTGTCACTAAATATGCCGTCGATATAGTTTGTGGTCAAAACGTTGTGACCAAATTTGGGGTTATAGTCGCATTTTAAATAGGTCCAAATGTTCTTCCCACGTGTACAATCGATGTTTATGACATGTGACAGTTTTAGGTGTGTTCATATTCGATTACATACGCCAGAATAAAAATGGTATATAATTTTGTATCAAATGAAAATACGATATCAATACGAGTGATCATATTATATTATTTTAAATTAGCGATCCGATCAAAAGCCGCGTCCTTTTCTATTATTTTTTGCTTCCTTGTTGTTCTATATAGTTTAACTTGTATATAGTTTAATGTGTATATTCTTTAATTTGAAAGTAGTTATTGTGTGACGCCCCTCATGAAGAGCAGCTCACGTTGATCGAAGCTAGCGTTTACTGTAGTTTACCATAAAGTTTTACCATACAATAGCATTGTTATGTTCAAATCCGTCAATAACCTAACATATATACTATAATAGTGTTACCAACGGTTATTTCTGGTCGCACAACATTATATTTGTTATTCATTCATCATGCCGGATGTCTCAAGATTCCGACTCACTCCCGATTTCCGTCTTCGTTGTTTTATGTGCATGCAACGCAGTGCCATGATGCACATCACGTACATACTGTTTTGTAATTCTGCCGTATGGATTGAGAGGGGTCAGTAACATGGGTTCTTTTCAGTAAACGATATTCAGATACAAACAATGGATTTTGATCAGCATGACAAATATTGACAATGAAATTGTGCGATGATGACATATTATAACTTTTTACCCCCCCCCCCCC